TCAGGAAACATGACACCACAATAAGGTAAAAGATGTGGTTGTGAAGCAAAAAAAATCAGCCATAAAGCAAAAAAGCATGTGACAATGATCGCCCACCTTCCCTGCCAGCTTCTCACGAGCAAACTCAATGGAGAGACCAGTTGGAAGCTGGAAAACATGGTTGGATGAGATTTTTGCTTAACAACCTGAACAGTCCTTTAACAATAGCAATCAAGGCTGCAATTGTAAATCAGCTTGGTCACATGCTTTTTTGCTTTATGGCTGATTTTTTTTTTTTTGCTTTACAACCACATCTTTTAGCTTATTGTGGTGTCATGTTTCCTGAATCCTATTGGGCTACGTTTGATTGCCAATCATTTTGCGATGGAAACCCATAGAACTTTGTATGTTAAAGCATCACAAAATTAAGGAGAGAAAAAGAAAGGAGTTTTGATCAACTGATATTTGTAGGCATAAAAATCTAGTGTGAACTGTTTAGTTTCAGCTACAATTATGCTTCTTGATTATATAGCCGTGGGACAGAATTTCACTAGACACATAATGTAATTATTATAGCAAAATGTCCGTGGCTGTATATATATGTATTTTAAGTATTGTCTGGGTTAGAATGTTCATGGATTTTTTTAGGAGGCAAAGATACAAGGACACTTTTTTTTTTTAAATCTCAGGCTTCCAGCGCCGTCGACTGATTCCAGCCCCTCTTCCTGATTCTACATCGCTGGGCAGAAAGCAGAATGTGGCTGGCCAGTGGGTTGATCTTCCCCCTTTACCAGGGACTTTGAAAGAGCCATTTGAAATAAAAGTTTATGAGATTGATGATGTGGAACGATTACAGCGACATCGACAAGAGGAAAGTGAGGTCAGGATATATTTTACAACAAAGTGGACAATATAAATTTCACAATCCGTGAGCCAAGATTGTAGCTTAAAATCTAATACACAAGCAGAAGAACAGTTTGTAATTAAATCAATATCATAAGCCATTTTTAAATAGTTCATATTTTGGGGGTGTCTTTCCCATTGAAAATAATTTGGTCTACCATTAATTGTGTTTAATGTAGTTGATGGAGTGAGTGGAGAATATCAATTAATACATTATGAGTAGGCTTTATAATAATTGCCTGCCTGATGAAACTTTATGGGTCTCCTTTCACTAAAGGGTCATTAACTCTTTATGTAAATGGCACAACATAGCATTTAGAATTCTGTTAAGTTCAAGATGTTGTGAGTTTAATTTATTTGTAATTGGCAAAACAATCCAGTTAATTCTGATAGGTAACAGGAATTACAATCATTAGTTTGCTACCTGTTTAAAATAACTGCTTCTTTTATTTCATTTACAACAGCCTTTCCAGGATGTTGAAAAGGTAAGTCATGTATTTCCATCTTATTTATCTCTTCAGAGCTAGTTATTTTGTGGCAAACATAAAATTTTCAATTAGTTGTGTTGTGTGCACACAATTGGGGATGGTTTCAATGCAGAACCCTCAGGCCAATGGAGGAGATCCTAAGTCAGTTGGGGAGTTTGTAAAATAACTTCTCACCGAAATGCTACACGTATGCATTTTTATGTTAATTGATAACTCCACAATCAGTCTCAGATCTTTTATTATATATTGTTTCTAGGGTTATAGTATCCATTATTGTAAATTGTGTTTTGCTGCTTTTTAAAATTTTGATTATATTTGAATTTTATTGGCACCATTATTTCAGCTTTATATATAGTTTGTTTTTGTTATCCTGAAAGCTTAAACATCAGACAACTAAAATGGGAGTAGAGGCTTTGTTTTCTCTCCTCTACTTTTACTCTGCAATCCCTCCACCCATCCACTTTGAAACCATGTTTAAAATGAAGCAAGACAACTGTAGCATGGGTTATGGAGCAAACCAGATGGGGCATGATTAAGCATCCCACCTGCACATAGAATTGGGATTTTGAAAGTTTATTTTTTTCTAAAGGAGTTATATTTTCTCATTTCACAGGGGAAAAAAATAATTTCTGTACATATGGTTGTAATTTAAGAGTATTGTAAAGGAGCACATTAACTTAGAATGGCAATAAGTGCCCTAAGTGCTTGTAGAAGATTGCTTTATTAGATTAGCACCCATGAAAGTTCACTTTCAGCAAAGATAGGATGGGAGAGAACTTAGCTAATGTTTAATATTTCTTGTTGAAGCTTCATGTGAGTAGTTGAAGTTGAATGGTGTGGACTGTAGACTTTTGGGAAATAGGGAAAAGCAAGCAGATGGCCAGCAAAGAGTTACAGATGAGTAATTTTTGTCCCCCTAAAGGGCTTGATATATTTTAATACAAAGCTGAAAATCCTAGAGAGACGTCACCAACGGATTAGAGAAATGAAAGCAAAGCATGAGTTGTTGAAAGAGGAATTGGAAGAAACAAAGTGCAGGCTGATGTTGGATCCAAGCAAGTGGAAAGGAGAATGTAAGTATTTATTTAGTGCTAATAGCGAAAGTGCTTGATTGACAGAAAATTATGAAGAATGGTACTACAACCTGAATATTTTAATGCAGTGTTTTGATCCAGAATTGTTAAAGAGCTATAGGGATAGATATTAACTGCCTCGGTCTCTTTTCATAATTCATCCTTGTACTCCCTCTGTCCTAGCTTCATGTTAATTCAATTTTAAAACATGGATCTCTTTTAAAATATGGTGGCAGAGCAAAGTTAACAAAAAACTAAAGTAAAACATTTAAATGAATTAAATGTATTTATTTTAGATTTAAATTCAACAAAATTTAAAAGATAACATTAAAAAAACATTAAAAGTTTTTTTTTTAAAAAAAAGAGGTTAGCAAAAATATCAGCATTTGATTCAGGAAAAACATTTTTTTTATTGACAAGTCCATGTTTAGTGTACCATCAGCCTCTCTGATTATTTCCCCTTTCCATTAATCCATTAGTAAAATGTAATTGTTACCTCTGCAACCAGGCCCACTATGGATAAAAATCCCATCTCAAATTTATGCTGAAATTCAATCAGTTTTTTGGAAAAGGATATATATATATATATCTCCTTGGACCATGGAAAGGGCATAAAATTATTCCAAACAGTAGCTAAGATCTTGACTGAACTGTGGAACAGATTCAGGAACCCCAAGTTCCTTTGGAATCCCACTAGGTCAATTAGATCCCTCCTCTTGGAATCTCCTTTCTTAGAAATCCTTAATGCATAATGCTTGTTTAAGATTATTACATTATTATTTCTAGAAACTTGTTTGGATATTAAACACCTTCTGTTTGTTTGTTTTTTATGCTACTAGTTGAGGTTGATCCTGATCTCGATAAGGAATCTCAAGATTATCTGGAGGCATTAGAACAAGTGACGAGTGAACTAGAGCAATGTGTAAATCTGTGCAAGTCGCGTGTCATGATAGTCACCTGCTTTGATATTGGAGTGATTAATGACATCCAGGATGGAGCACAAGAAGTGGAAGTTTGAAAACATTTGTGAAGGGATTTAAGGCAGTGGAACCAAACTTTCAAAGGAAGGAAGAAAAATAGGTGTATTGGAAAGTGATGGTGGACGTGTGAGAATTTATTGCGACAAGGAATGTTGTGGAAACCAGAAACTGTCAAGGAATTGGAATGTTCTAAACCTTTATGGTGCCTCAACAATCTATGAATTGTACAAAGCTTACCATAATTTCTAAAAGAGAAAAGCAGAAAAAAAATATGCCGAGAACTGTTTGAAAAGCGAAGTGCCTTTACCATTCATTTGTGACTTGTTTTCTTAATTTTCTATTTGTTGTTAGAACTGAAACCAGCAAATCAAAACAAATCATAAAATGTATTCCTATGAAATATTTTCTACTGTATAGTGTAATTTATGACTATATGTAAAAACAAAACAAAAATTGTAGCAAAAGCAATAATTATGTTTTCATACCTGAATTTGCCTCCTTGCTTCACGGAAAAGCTGGTTTATGTAGCAGAACAACAAAAAATTATATTGTAATTGCTTTTTCATGGTTTAGGATTTGATATATTTTTATGAACATTATCTATTGGAAAGGTATATAATGACATTTTGGAACACTTGCTTTGTATTCAGTTTTGATACTCTTTTTCAGAACATGACGAACATGCTTTTTCCATGTTTTTCTATACAAATATTAGGGCTGAAATGTTTGATAGACTGATCTGTTACATTTGTCAATGAAAACACCATACGTTTGATTAAAAAGGTGCCTCCTGATTAACTGAGCAGCAGATTTTAAAACCTTTGTTTAAACTTATTTTTAATACAAGGAAAAGCTGAGGACAGCATGTGGCATACTGTAGCATTCCCTGTTCTCTCTGCTACTTACATAGATATGTCTGTTCCAGGTGGTGCTTATTGCAAAATACCTGTACATGTGTTTTTNTGGCTTTGCGGAGTGCTCGCTTCTCTTGTGCTATGGTTGTTCTTCTGTCCTCAGATGTCTGGCAGCCTTGGTGGATCAGCGTGCGCCATGTTGAACGATCTTATGCCAGGGTTTCCCAGGAGGTGGTGTTGATATCCAGGAACTTGAAGGAGGATTTCAATGTTTCTTTGTATCACTTCCAATAGCACCATGGCAGAGCTCAGGAAGACTTTATTGCATTGGTTCAGCTAGTACAAGAATCCATGCTGTTCTTTCCTTCCAAGAGTCCATGGAAGCTTGGTAAACCACATACCAAAAATCACAGGTTCCTCAGGCAGGACTGGAAAAAAAATTCTAGTTAAAACCATAGAAAGCTATAGTTGTTGGATTAGTACTATTGCTGTACTTTGATATCTGTCTTAGTATAAGGCACTGTCCTTTGTATTTTTGAACTTCTAGCTTACTTGAGAAGCTGTCTAGTTTTTTTAAGTGCTACCAAATTTCAGTAGTTCTGAACCTTTCTGTGCAACAAACAGAAAATCCTTGGTAAGTGGGTTGATTCCCCACAAACTGCTACGTTCCATAGTTGGAATACAGCAACATATCCTACATCCCTCAGATGAACTCATCCAACATCCTGGTCCCAAGCGAACAACCAGGTCTTCAATGCTTCCTAAAGATTAACAGGCTTATGGCAGTTGAATTTCAGAGGTGAGATCACATAGCAGCGATATGGTGTTCTATGTAAGTTTATAAATGTATTGTAATGACAGATCATAATCTGTCACCACAAATAAAATAAAATAACAATAAAACAGTAATTAGATAGCATACACTATTAAAGGTTACAACAAAGTAAAGTCAAAACTACAGTACATCTAAGAATTTAAGTTTAGTTTTATAAGTTAAAATGACAGCAATGCAAACATAGCAACTTGGTTGCTGATAGTCTTCATTTTTGCAAGATCGGAGTTCTCAAATTCATCTACCACTAATGACTTGGTGCTGATCTCCTTGTAAATGGTACAGTGGAGGACATAATGGGTGATATCCTCCACTTGACCAACACCATAAGGATAGAGGGGTTGTTAAACAGGGGGATTAGAAAATCTCCCTTTGAGATATATGGAGGACATCCCTCTGCAAGTGAAGGGATATGGATACAGATTAACAGAGTTGGAAGGGACCTTGTAGGTCATCTAGTCCAATCCCCCTCCCCCCCAGCAGACCCTACACCATTTTTGACAGATGACAGTCCAGACTCTTCTTGAAAGCTTCCAGTGATGAAGCTCTCACAACTGGGAGTTAAAGACATGCTCAGTGGAGCACTGGTTATATTAATCAAATACTGAGAGAGGCTTCTATATTTCTTATGCTGTAATGAAGATACAAAGAAAAAAAATTTAGATGAATGTACTGCAGTTACATCTTTATTAGCATCCTTTTCAAAAATATTTTCTCTATTCTAGATTTAAATTCTCTCAAAGTTGATAGGGAATACATTTGAAGAATAGGTGATAGACGTTTGATCCATTAATTTCCAACTATGTAATGGAAAAAGAGTTTGGCAACATGGGACTCTTGAAAACCTTTTAGTTTCTTGCAGTACCCCAGCAATGCAAGACATATTACAACAGTTATAGAAAGTAGCCCTACCTCCATCCTTAAATAAACAAAAGGGATGCTCTGGGGGAGGCCCAAGATCTTCCATTTGAAGTTGCTCTGGATTACTTCCAATTGGGCAATGATCTTCTCATCCCACCTCCAATCTGAACTACACACAGCATCTGTGCTTTCAACTTGCTTTGTAATATTTTAAGTTCAGGAGCTACCAATTGCCTTCCTTTAGAATAAAAAAAAAGCAGAATACCATGCTGGGCAGTTGCCAAGAAAGTAGATAAGTGGGCTTTCCATAAAAGGGACTCGTGAAAGCTGATGCCCAGATATTTAACAGAGGGTTAACATGGCTATATTTGCTGGATAGTTAATTGTCCATTTGTAATTAGTACTGCTTTCCCCCACAAACGACTACCCTTGCTTTATTATAATTTATTTTCAGTTTTCCCCTTTCATAGCAAGTGGCTAGTCTGCCCAATAATCTTCTACAGCCAATCTCAGTATAGGAAATAAGAACCATGTCATTGCACACATTAACAATGCATTTTTTTTGTCCATTGCGTGAAAAGCTGTTACTCAGAAATATACCAATGAGCACATAAAACAACTCTATGTCACTTTTATTGACTTTACCTCTGCCTTTGATTCTATTGACAGGTCTCATTTATGGGAGAAACTAGTTAGGACAGATATTGATAAGCGTCTTCTTAAACTAATTATACTGACATTACAGCTGGAGTAAGAATGAGCTCAAATTAACACCGTATCTTATTGGAGAGGGAAGTTAAACAGGGCTGTTTATTTACTCCCTTCTTATTTAATTTCTATATTAATGATATTGTAGTGGCCATGAAGTCATTATCTGGTGTGGTTATGTGACACTAATGCTACAAAGATTGCATTGTTGTGAGTTTTGTTTCTGTTTTTCGTTTTGTTCAGTTCAAGGTGCTAGTGATCACCTTTTAAAGTCTTGCGAGGTTCGCTATTCTGTGTGGAATAAAGAGGAAAAAAATGCAATTGGTCTGTGGTTTGTTTTTATTTTTTTCTTTTAGCAATTTCATTATACTGAAATGCTGCTTTCAAATGAAGCATCAACATTTGGCTGTCATTCTTACAATAGCAATAGCAGTAGACTTATATACCGCTTCATAGGGCTTTCAGCCCTCTCTAAGCGGTTTACAGAGAGTCAGCATATTGCCCCCAACAANTCTAGATGTAGTCTTACTAAGGCTTTATAGAGTAGTATTAGTATCTCACTTGATATTGATTTTAATGCAACATATTGCATTGGCATTTTTGGCTGCCACTGCAAACTGTTACCTCATATTTAATTGGTTGTCCACTAACACTCCAAAATCCCTATCACAGTTACTGCTATTAAGGCTGGTTTCACCCAGTCTATATGTGTACTTTTGGGTTTTCTTGCCTAACTGTATATTTTTGTGCCCATCCAATTCTGATTTATTCAATTAATCATGGTCAAGCAAAATAAGTTTAAGTATGTTGTGTGGACATTGCATTTACATTTATCCTCAAAGGAGGAATAAATGTAATATATAGGAATATAACAGGAGTTAAGTATTTAGAAATCTATGAAGGAGATTTCCAGCTGGATGACCTTAAGAGTCCACCTAGTCCAGCATGGGGTCCAGGATCCAATCAGGTACATTAGGAAACCTTGAACACTATGTTCAAAAGTTCCATAATCCTTTTTCATTGTTACTCCCTCAACCTAACATCCGCAGCTTGTCCATGTTGTATTCCTTGACTATCTGATCCCCTGGAAGTGATGAAATAATAATTCAAAGTAATGAATTTAATATGACAATGACTATGAGCTCATGCAGGTTGGGCAGATTCCACATGGAACAAATAGTCCCTAAAGTACCCCTGAGCTATATAGGGCTTTATGGGTCAACACCAGCACCAACTTAAACTAGTTATTATCATTATATTTGGTGGGTGCAAACTCCAGGTCTGAATCTCCCCTCATTTAATTTCAATGTTAAATTCCAATATAGTTGATGGAGAGAAATAACTGCTTTGCTCCAAGCTGCAGTGTTTCCTCCTAGAAATTGTAGGAGAAAAGCAAGATGATCTAGAAGGTGGGGTTAAATATGTCATCAGTTTGGAGTCATTGTGTTACCGCAAGTGACCTAAGTCCAGCCTCCCATGAATTCTGTTGACTCTTATCAAGCAGCAATTTAACTTTGTCTATTAGCTGACTCTATTCTTGTATTAGAGGTAGCAATAATAAACTCTTCTGTGCTTTGAACTCTGTGAATGCTCCTGATTATTTGCACCTGGCAGAAATGTTGCTGTAACCACCTAATCATTTTAGATGTCTCCCCCCTCCCTCATTTCTACAGTAGCCTTTTTTTTAAGTGGTGGTGACTAGAATAGAGCATACTTTGCAGCCTCATCATGGATTTATGTAGGAACATTACTATATTGACTGTTTCATTTTCAATTCCATGCATAGTGTTTGTTAAGATTGCCTCTCCTGTGTTCCTCCATATATTCAAAATCCATGAGGGCATTTTCTGTAAGAATAAATTGAAGATTTTCTTTCAGACCAGCTTTTGATTTTATAGCTCTTAGGAGTTGGTTATTGTTATTGCCTCTGCTTTTTCTCCTATTATATTCTCTCTTCCTTTCAAAGAAATAATTTGTGTTGCATTTTTGTCTTTTTATTGCCGGGCTGTTTTTGTTTTGATTGCAAGCTTTTGTTAGCTGCAATCTTTGCTTTAAAAATCTTTGCTTGGAGGGGAAGATGCAGGTTACTGTATGTTGTATTATAGAGGCAGAAAAGAAAGGCCCTAGATCTAATCTCTGGCTTGTCTATATCACATGTCAAGCCTTTGGGAAGGGAAAATGTAATTGCTGACCCTGAGATTGTGTACTCCGTTGATCGCTCTCCATAGCATTAAGCGAAAAAGAAGTCTTTCTCATTGCAGGTTGGGGAATTCATTCAAGGGAAGACGTACAGGGTTCAACTTTGGGAATGCATAAGAGACTTGGTGCTTGGATAAAAAGTAACAGTAAAGCACGAGGGAAGGGAAGCTTGTACTATCATAGTACAAATTTATCCAGGAATGCAGAGTTTCAAAATAACGAAGCACTGGGCAAGGTGGACAGAAAATCAAGAAATTAGGGAGGAACAAATGAAATAAATATCTATTTTTTTAAATGAAAGTCAGAGAAATAAATTGTTTTAGGCAAGAATCTATAAATGAATGTGCAAAGGTCCATGACAGCCTGCGTATTCATAAGATGTCACCCTCTATCAGTGATGACAAACCTTTTCAGCACTGAGTACCCAAACCGGAACATGCGTGTGCATTCACACATGCTGGAGCACCGGAAATCTGAAGACCAGCTG